TCCTTGACTAGCAACGGGCTTAATACCAACCCCACACCGATGCTTTCTTTGCAGGATGCAAAGTTCCCTGCCTTCCCCTAAGCCCACCCCTTGCTCAGGTGGAAGATGAAGGGAAGCACAGGGGAGAGGAAGAGCAGAACACGGTTGCCTACAGAACTACCATACAAGCCACAGAGATCATGGACTACCGGGGCGCCTTGCGCAAGCCACTTTCATCTAGAAGCTGAACTAACATTCCAGCTCAACAATAGCAAAAAACCATTTGTTACCACACGGCGTTTTTGCTACAGATTAACCAGCAGTTGCTACGCAAGCGGAATGGAGTGCTGCGATTCCGAGGGAGATGTTATTTATAACAGAATCAAACCAAATGTTGACTTATGGGCAATGAGCCTGAGGTGAGTGCTCGTGGGCTGGCCATGCCACTGGATGGAGAACATGCTTGGAAGTTATGCAAAGCAGGCCCTGCATTGGGAACAATGCAGTCGTTTTCCTTGCTAAGCTCATTTTGCATTAAGGCAATGAGAGTCTTCATCTATGCAGCCCCTTAGAACATTAAATCAGATTTAGTTACTAGGAAGAAATACCAGAGCAGAGCTTCCTGCACTCCTCAGGAGTTTTCAGATCTGAGAACCTCAAGCCAAGCAGGTCACTAGGTGGTGTGGAAAAATAAACCTGTTGTATCTTTCTCACATGGAGCTTTCTTGGTCCCATGAAGAATAATGCACCAGCTCCTCCAGACTGGGCTGTCGGCCTGGAGCCAAAGGCTTCCACAAAACATTGGCAACAGTATTCACCGATGGCTGGTGGCATCTACTCTTCTTGTAATGGGCATCACCAGAAGTTGTGGAAAAGGCCTGAAATACCTATAGGCTATTTGAGGCCAAATACGCAGATACACGCTCTCTCTTATCCACACATGCACACACTACACATGCACGCAAATAGCTCTATAGGCAGGACTTGGATTTTGTAGGATCCAAGGCAGAGAAGCTGACTCGTCACAGGGTTTGGGAATCAAGGACTCTGGGGTGCTAAAACCAGCTTTAAATTACAGGTCTCCTTTGCTTTGGGTAAGCCACTTGAACATTATCCCTCCAGGATTTACACACCAACTTTATGGGCATGCTGCTTAAACGCCTGCAAAGTGCTTTGAAATGGTTTCTAAATCCTGCAGTGATATGCACAGAAGAAGTGCACAGAGTGATTTAAGATAACAGTTGCTGAGCGTTATTACTGTGTAACTACAACCTATTTTTATACGCTCTATACTTAGTTTCTATCAACAGATGACAAACATTCAGTATTTGAATGTTTTAATGAGCTTTATGACCCTTTTGTAATTTCAGAAGCAAGCATAAATAACACTTACATGAAGAAGAGTCTCTCCTGAATGGGTTTTCTCTTCCTGTTTGGGAAAAAGAAAGAGAGAAAAAGGAAAAATGTATTTTAAAGGGAAAAAAAATGGTTCCAGCAAGGTGAATTAGACATGTGCCAATGTTACCATAAACAGTGTTTTCTGAATTTCATCACTATGAACTCTTGAAGAACATCAAGAGTGCAGCACTAGTGTCAAAACAAGAGACCATTTCTCACTTGTTCCATCCCATGTAAACCATCACAGGAAATTTGACTATATCCATCTCAAGAGCAAGGAAATTATACCCCAGTAGTGAATTAAAATGTAAATGTCCTGTGACTCATTCTTTGCTTTGGGCAACCTGGTCGAATGGAAGGTGTCCCTGCTCGTGGCAGGGGGGTGGAACTGGATGAGCTTTAAGGTCCCTTTCAACCCAAACCATTAGATGATTCTATGATCTGAAGCAAAAAAGGATGAACCTTTAACTACATTCCCATTCACTGATAACCTCATGGGTTGATATACGGGTTGCTCTCCAACCTGCGGGCAGCCTATCAACACCAACACCCTACGGCACGGTGCTCCAGCTGTGTTTTGGCACAGTGTGACTATATTTCCACAGCAGTGCTAAAGCACTGACCAAATTCAAACCCAGGTCAGGGATGTGAAGGTGTTCTTCGAGGCTGTGACCATTCTGGGCAACAGAACCACAACAGGAAAGCCAGTAACTGCTGAAGTGCATGAGTCTTCCTAGCAGCCCATAGGTTTTAACAGCTACTCATCCTGCTGCCTCCCACCCAACGCTCCCTGGCAGGATGTGGATTTGATTCATGCCCCCCTTCCACTAACCAAGCTGGTAGGTTCGGTGAATACTCTTGGGACAGGGTTTTGGGTCAGCACCAAGTGGCTTTTTGCTGATGTATCATAGAATAACAGAATGGTTTTGGTCAGAAGGGACCTTAAAGCTCATCCAGCTCCAACCCCTTGCCATGGGCAGGGGCATCTTCCACTAGAGCAGTTTGCTCTAAGCTCCGTCCAACCTGGCCTTGAATACACTGATAGCAAAAGACAGAGACTGGTACAGGTACAGAAGATGCTGCAGGACACCAGCCACAGCTTCAGAGTCAGACTGGCAGCACGGCAGCACTTCCAATGGCAGGTTTGGGAGAACAAAAGGACAATGAAGTGTGGCAGTTCCACTTAATTTCTACCACATTATCTTATATCAATATTAGCTACTCTGTAAGCAATTTAAAGGGTATTGCCTAGAGTTTACATGCCTTGGGATGATACTCAGCTAGCACAAATCAATTAAATCCATGGCATGACAACAGCTGAGGATTCAAGTAAATATGCATGTGTGGAAGAAATTCAACAGATATTAAATCACTGCATTTTCACCCTCACGCTTTGCTTCCCAAGGCCAAGGTCCCAATCCCACAAGCAGCACCCGCCCCCAGAGTGGCATGAGAATAAACTTCAGTTCTGTGTATGCAGCACTTGAAGGGGTCTGGACTCAGAATTACTTTAAAAAACATAACCCTGATCCATTCTGGTCACGTAAATTGAGTCAGTGATGAGAATTCGAAGGCACTAATCCTGCTGGGTAATCTATTCAAAGCTGCACTTCTTAAATGATCTACAATTTATTAGTATGACCAAACACATAAGCATTACTTGCAAAAGGCTTTAACTACCATGGCTTTCCCATCCATTTTTATGCGTTGTAATATGGTTAGAGTTAAAAGAAACAAAGCAGCATAATCTTTTCAGAGTCATTTGCCAGCATGGTTAAAAGCCCGGGTAGGGCACTAGCGCAGGGACTCCCCTTACTGGTGGAACTGGTAGGATTGCCACTGAGGCAAAACTATGGGGCACTGGAAAACCTGGAAGGGGCCAAAGGAAAATAATAGGGGGGTTCTGTTAAGTCTGAGATGCAGTGATGGAAATCCTGGGAGCATCACTGCATGGGAAACACAGTGTCAGCCTGCTGAAGGGCTCATGCTGAGAGTCTCCTTGGAAAACACTCAGCCCATAGGGCTTGGTTAGAAGCCACTAAGAGGTAGCTCAGTTTTGGTCAGACAGAGTATTGATTTAAGGAAAACTCATTGAGGTATTCCCAATGATCTGCTGTAAGACGAGATCCACACTGTGGCTTTACAATCAGGACTGTGCTCAAGCACTGGAGGAGGGTTCCCGAGCACTGTGCAGCAAGAATGAGCCAAGCTAAAGGGTCTTCCTATGCTCCCAGGGTGATGCTGCCCCTCTTTTGATACAGCACTTCACACAGACTGAAGCTTCCTGCCACAGCCCCAACATTTCCCCTCTGACACTTCAGAAACCTCCCGGCAGCCCCAAATCTACCAACAGAGAGGAATGCACCAAGTTTTGCTCAGTGAAATAAAATAGCAATTGACAGCATTTGAAGCATTCCAGATTCCTACTGGATTCTAGTCCAAGATCCTTAAACTTGAACAAGCAAACAAAGAATGCTTCCCATCACCACCCCGGATTTTAACCTGGCACCCCCCAACCTGCCACCAGCCTCTCAGTACCTCCAAATATCACAGTGCCATCTGCAAGCTCCTGCTTTCTGCACAGTGTGGCAGGGAATAACCCTAACCCTGCATGGGAGGAGCAGCAGGTTAATAAATTACAGGGAGAAGTGGCCTTGGCTTTGCTGCCAGTCCACAGGCTGGGGTCAGGGTCCCAAGCCATCCATGCGACAGCACCAGGAACCCATAGGGAGGGCAAGGAGCTGATCGCCCTCCTCAAATCAACCCGAACCATGAGAAACATGGGATGGAACAGAGGTGAAATGCAGGCAAATGAAGAGAAGAGAGAAAATTGTAATATGCAAAGCAGAAAAGAAGCAGTTGAAGAGGAAACACGAAGATGCTATCTCCGAAAGTGCCAAAAATAAAGTTTCCAGTGTCAGTTGAATCAGGGCAGCACAGACATCTTCCTGCCACACTCATGCTTCAGGCTCAGCTTACCCGTGGCCAGGGCCACTGTCGCACTACTGGCTGCCCCACTGCTTCCACGTTTTGCTTTAAACCCCCCCAACAACCTTCAGGGGACCCCCTGTAACACCCAAAGATAGGCAACACCTCCTCAGCTCACCCCAATGCAGACCTGGAGGTAAACACCCGTCTGTCAAAACCCAACAGGGATCTCTGCAGAGCCTCTGCCCTCTGAATTCCGCAGCAGCAGGTTTTAACGGGCTGCTACCCTCCAACATAAAGCCATAAAACCTGAACTGGTAGCAACTGTCACCGAGCCCTGAATCACACCCCCGGTGCCATGTTCCCCTCCCTGTTTTGCTGGTGCAAACCTCGCAACATTTCAACATACAAGCAGTAATAAGAGAAAAAAAAAATGCAGTTACCAAAATAGCCCCATGAACGTAACCGGCTCCTCTGGGCACATTTTCTTAATGCCTTTCCCAATACGGTTACAAAAATGGGAACTAACCAAAAAACTCCATCTTTACACCTCGGCACCAGCCGTGCGGCGAGGTTGTGTTTGGCTGTGTTTGTCTGGATCCTCTCCTCCTACTTTTTGCTCACCGGGGCTTTCCTTTAACCGTGGCTCTTGTTAAAACAGCAGAAACCGGCTTTTACAGCCCTTAAATACAAAGTTTTGCCACTCTGGGGCGAGCCCAGCTTGCCTTCTGATTCTGAAATAACACACACGCTGCGCCTATGTGAAATAAATTCTCCCATGTTCTTATATGGAAGCCTTGCGAGTCCTCCCACACCCGCCGCTTGTTACGATATCAGGCAGAGATGGGCACTCGTTATCTAAAAGCCAGTGGGTGAAATTCGGATCCGAATTACCCCAAGACGACCCCAGAATGTCCACCCCTTGTTGAGCTCGCTCCCCTGCTCCGTGCAGCCCCTGCGGGTTTTATTTCCAAGCTCCAATCGCAACTTTGATTTCAGCATGCCCCCCAAAACAGCAAAGTCAAAGGAAAACGAAGGGGATAAAAAGGAACCAGAAGAGGTGTTACCCACCAGGTAGGCCCGTGAGCATCAGATGGAGCATTGCCGGGACCAGCCTCTTCCCTTGAGGTTAGCGCAAGGCAGCCAGAGAAAATACAGCGCGGAGGGGTGGGATGGCAAGAGAAGGGTAAAACGAGCAGGGGAGAGGCGCGGGTGATGTGCTGGAGGGACCGACAAAGTTAACGCAAAGCGGGGTGTGGAAATAAGCAGCGGGGTGGAAAACCCCCTCCGGGTAACGAGCCCGAAGGGAGGGGGTGAAGGGAGAAGAATGGATAAATAAATACACGGAGGCAGAAGGGAAAGCGCGGCCGGGGCACCCCGAGCCGGCGCGGACAAAGGGAGGACGCACCGCTGCCGCTGCCACCCTCCGGCCCCAGCCCGGTTCGGTTCGGTTCGGTTCAGCTCCGCCGGGCGCGGAGCGGCCGCTCTTTGTTCGCCGTGGATTGGATCCGAATCCGGATTCGCACCAGCACCAGCCCCAGCCCCAGCCCCAGCCCCAGCCCCAGCCCCAGCCCCAGCCCGGGAGGCGCCGGTACCTGCGTCCGCCGGCCGCGGTTCCTGCGCGCCGCTAAGCCCCTGCGGCGCGTCCTGCGGAGCGGAGCGGTGCGGCGCGACTAGCAGCGTCGAGCAGGAGGAAACGGTAATTTATAAGCGCTTTCTTCCTGACCTCTCGTGTCTGTTGTCTAATGAGGGAGCTTTGAGCATCACCCATCCTGCTGAGTGGAAAAACACCGGCACGGCCTCTTCTTTGCTGGGGAGGGGGGAGCCTAAAGGAAGGGGTGTGGGGAAGGAGGGGCCATGCCGCAGACACGGCGGCGGAGCCCGGGCTGGCAGGCGGCCGTGGGGCGGCGGGGAGGGGCAGCGGCCGGGGAGGTGTTGGGGGGGAACCGACCAACGTCCCCCTGCTGGGAGCGGAGCCCGGCCTCGTCCCGCGGCTGCCGGCCGGGGACCGTAGCGAGGGAAGGAGGGAAGGGAAGGAGGGAAGGCGAGCGGGCTGCCCGCCGCGGCGAGCCGTGCTCTTTCGGTTTTACCCGTTTAAAACCGGGGTATTTTTGATCTGCACACAAAGAGCGCCCTTCCCGCACACAAAGCATCCCCCCGGCGCCGGCGCTGGCACCGGCCCCGCGCTTTGCTCCTCCGCCGCCGCTTCTCCCCCTCCGGAGGGGCGGTGGGAGCTCGGGTTCCAGACCCGGAGTGGCTCCGCAGGGCTCCCCGGGCAGTTGGCCTCGGCAGCCGTCCCGGCTGGAGGAGGAAACCCATTGGGAGCGTGGCCTGGCAGGTGCTTGGGAGACCGGGATCTCCCCGCTCTGCTCTGCCTGCTTCCAGCCCTGCTCGTAGCTGAGAAGCAAAGTACGGCCGGGGCCGCCCGCAAGGGAAACGAGCAGGGCAGCGTTTTGTCCTGCCTTGGGTTCCACCACACCGAAAGCCGGTGCTTTTCTCCTGCAGACGAACGTGTACCTGCCTCAAATACGTCTTGCTCTCCTACCTGCATCTCCTCTAGCTCTGTTAATGGAAGGATACGGCAGCATGGACACTCGCTAGGCGTTTTCATACAGGAAGATCTAGTGAGATGCTCTGTACTGCAAAATACCGTTTGGATCGTGGGGGGCAGTGTAGATGGGAAAAAAAGATTTTGGGCAGGAGTCCCTTGCACTGGGAACAGTGGAGACAGACTGAAGAAGAGTGAATGGCCCCCCACAGCCGTGCTCTCACAGGCTTTCCTGGATACACCACAAACGAAGGCAGCAGTCCCTGAGCAGCATAACTTTGGAGCGCAGCATTTATGCATAGGCTGCTCATGGATTCAATTCCACCACAGGAGTATTCAGAAGAGCCTGGTTTCTTTGGCTGGTTGAGGTCAAAGCTGCACCCTTCAGAACCCTCCTCACTAGCAATGCCCGGTGCCAAACACTGCACTCGGGGCTTTTCCAGTATCTGAGCTGATTTGACAAGTGAATAGGTTTTTCACTGATAAATAGGTCCAGGTACAGGATATGTGCAGCTAATCGATGACTTATCTCCACTAAACTAACATGATGTAGTGCATGCTGCCACCTATGTCTCCTGATTCAGGTTTCTGTACTGCACCTTCAATTTGTGGGCATCCTTTGCTGGAGGCATCTTGTGAGACTCCACAAGGGACCACAAACAGTCGGGGGTTTTAGGAAGGACCACAAGCTCTGGTAGCCCCACAAGGGAATTAAGCCAATCATTTCTCACCGGCTCAGCACGAGGATGCCTTGATGCAGATGAAGAACCAGCAGTCACACTGGTGAAATGTAAGTAGTGGCTGGAGCCTCATCTGTGCTGAGGATGCTGCCAGCACAGCTGTACCACTGACAGCAGTGGAATATTTTGCTCAAGTTCTCTAGAGGAATCAAAGCCTGTATTTTCTGTCCCTGGCTGTCTCTTGTTCTGTTGCTCCTCACTCATTAAAAGGAAATTCAGCCACACAAAGCACATGGTTTGCGTCTGTGTCGAAAAGAAAATAAATGTTTGGGGTAAAAACCCAACAGCCAAAGCTGGTTTGAAGTCAGAGGCATGTAAACAGTACCTGGAACTAAGTGGAATCATCATAATAATGATAATAATGAGTCCTTTTGTGTCCTGATGAGTACTGGGAGGAACGCTGCCTTAGCTGCAGCACCGTATGGCAGCACTAGTGTCTCTGGCTCCCTTATGTAACCCAAATCACAAGTTAGAGCCCAAATTACAAAGCACAAGCATGTGTGTAATAGTAACCATATAAATGGTGCCCGGAGTGACTATCCTTTTCCTGCAGGTCTGGCTTTAATCTATTATTATTTTTACTTCTGCAATTGTATTGATTTCAATGGGCACTAGTGCCGTTCATAGTGCAATCAAGCCTAACCCCTCAAAAACTCCACCATGAAGACATTAACCCAAACCGAACTAAGACAGGCCAAAATCACTCTGCTTACAGGTAGGCATAGTAAAAATGACTGGTATACCGGATCTTGCATGTATCCAACGTTGATTCTTCCCTGTGAGGGTGCTGAGGCGCTGGCACAGGGTGCCCAGAGAAGCTGTGGCTGCCCCATCCCTGGCAGTGTTCAAGGCCAGGTTGGACACGGGCTTGGAGCAAGCTGCTCCAGTGGAAGGGGTCCCTGCTCGTGGCAGGAGGCTGGGAATGGATGAGCTTTAAGGTCCCTTCCATCCCAAACCAGTCTGGGATTCCAAGATACTATAAAAAGCAGACTATCATCTCCCTGTGCTGCTTTGCAGCAGGTTTTTGCTGCCCAGCCCAAGGCATGGGGTAGCAATCACCTTCCTGAGCATTTTCCCTTTTTCTTAGAGATTATTTTTGCCATTAGCATGCTGAGCTGCTTTCTGGAGCTGTAAGGTGCTGGGTGCCGATACAATGAGCACTTCTTGTCTCTGTTTAATCCAATAACATCTCTCCTCTTCTTAATCCACACGTCTGGGTCACAGGGTTTAAAAAAGACACTGGGCCAAATCCCATCTTGGCTACAAGGTGTGGAAATCTACTGGGAAGGCACAAAAAGTCAGGAGAGATTCACTGGATGTGTATCCTATAGAAGAGGTCTCAAGGGGCAGGGATGCGAGTGCCTCATTTTGCAGATGGATGTGTATCCATAAAGGGTATAGCAGAGTTAGATCAGATTTCTGTCCCATGAGGTGGAGGGAGGGATATACACCAGGATCTAAATTATGTTCACCAGCAAATCCTCATTCATTTTAAAATTGAAATGGATTTAATATTTCTTCATCATTTTCAGGAGAAAAAACTTGTTTCTTTTCAATGCTGCTGGAGATTGAAACCTCACGTTTTTGGTGTTTTATGGACTCAAGACCAAGGAGGAGCTTTTGCAGGAAGTGGGAAGATTTTACATATAAATATTAAAACAAAAAAAGCAAAACATATCCAGGCACAAAGTGCAGCAGAAATCGAGGGGGCAAGTGGACAGCAGTGCCTGTAAAGAAGGGTATAAGCAGGAATGCCAAAAGGATGGTCTGAATGAGCCCATTGCATGAATGATGCTCCAAACACAGACTTCCTATACAAAGCTATATGGGAGCAACCTTCAGGGTTCTCCTGTAGAGCAAAGGATCCCAGGCTTGAAAAAGGGAGGCAGATTTTGTAAGGGATTTGCACGTCATGCAGTGACCCTGGATTGCAGATTTTAAGCATTACTAAACTGGGAAATAAAATTGTTGGCTTTTGCTATTACATACCAGGATATCTCTCTAATCCACACAATCCACTAAGTTGCTGTGGCTTTAGTCCGTGTTTATTTTAGATGAAATTATGGTCTGGGCAGTTAATTTTTCTTAGTTTATCCATTTAACTCATATAGAAGATACCAACCAGAACTCAAAACATGACCTATGGTTTTGGTACCCTCCCTATCGTGTGAACCTGCTGCTGATAGAACCCCCCACCAAGTTTAAAAGTCAGTCACAAAGGCAACTCAAACCCATAGGTCTTCTTGAAAAATAGCCCCATTGGCATTAAATTATCTGATTTTAATGCTACGAGTGGCCTGTTTTGCTTATATTTTAGACTGCCTATCCATGATAAGATCGCCTCCATCGGTCCTTGCCTTACATCAAGCTGATTAGGTATTAATTTGAGGCACATTTGAAAGGATGGAGCAGGTCCTTTCTGAACACCAGCTGAGTTTAGAAATGCCTATTCCTTTACAGGGGCTGGTTCCTTAGGTGAGGAGCAAACCCAGAGGACACAAACAGCCTGGAACCCAAGTGGTCATACAGGCTTTTGGAAGAAGTGTCTCAAGTTGAGTGGCAATCGGCCACCTGGAAATAAAACCCCTCTCCTTTATCCAAAGGTTTTCAGTGGGATTTTCAGCAGCTTCGGAGCAATTTAAAGTCCTTGAAAGGAAGGCACTACAGAAGGAAAACCAGAAGTATTATTAAAGGATGTCTCCAAAGTGAAAGCCATAAAAATGAGCTAAAGCCAAACAACAGGTATCTGTCTCCTGCATGGTTTGCATTTGTGAAGTCACTTCTAAACCAATGGGTTTTTTCTTCACTGCTGCTACTGGGAGGAACAATAAAAGATGAATAAATGAGGTTAAAGTAATCTAATTAAAAATTAAGCAACGTGCTTTCATCTTCCTTCCATATCCACTCATTTGGGATCGAACTTACACGAAATAGATAAAAATTCAGTGAGGATTTTGAAGGACAACTGTTTCCCTTTAAGATTAATGATAAACACACTTGTGTGTTCAAGGGAGAATAGATCCACTGTTATGTAAGGGGATAAAGAAACAAAATCCTTTTTTTCCCTTAAATTAAAAGAACCAGGATGCGTGCGGAGTTTCGTTCATCACCCCAAATTCAGGAAACCCATCTTCTTTCACAACCGCATTCCTCATGCTGGGATTGATGGCTTCCAACTTTGAAACAGAATCACAGCAATTAAAAGACAGAAAAGATTTGTTTCTTTGCTTTGACCACACTTTGCCACAATAGATTGTGCCCTGGGGAAGATTCTGCAGCACTTGCCCTGGGCAGCAATCTGAACTGGTGCTCATCTTTTCCTTTTCTGCATTAGTAAACCCAGTTATTGCACTTCCCAGTTGGTTTTAATCTGCTTCCCTCATACTAGATGTATGGTAACTTCTTTCTTTTAACCACTTTTTAACCTGAACTAGTACATAACAGCTCCTATCAAATCTTATCAATGCCTGCCTAAATTTGCCCAAAATGGGACAAGATCAACAGGCAATGGAGTTATTTAATGTTGTCATTGTCCTTTGTTGGCTCATGTGTATATCAGATATCATACACATATATATGTATATATGATATATATGTATGATGCATATATTATATATATGATATATATGGATATATGAGCTATATATGAGGTATATACAATATCTGATATATATGGCTCATATACATATCAGATTATCATATATAGTCTGCAAAAAAACCCAACCAAAACCTCATTTTCTACCATATAACCTGCATTTTCCACTTCTGCATTTCACAAAAGCACTCACACCACAACTTCTGCAGCAGCAGTTGATACATAAAGTTCCTCTTTACCACATGAATTCAGTTTTCCAAAAGAAGGCAAACGAAGGCTATTAATAACCAAGATAGAAAGCCCTGAAAAGGCGGAGCCTGAATGTACTTGCTGCAAGAAAATAAAGTCATTTTGTTGGATCTAAATCCGGAGCCATTATTTGACACAATGCAGAGCAGTTTGGGATTTGCATAGAGAGGCACTGCTGAATTAAGGTAATAGTCACCAACCATGTCCCAGGCTGGACACCCAGAGCAAGAGCAGCAGGTCAAGGGAGGGGATTCTCCACTTCTGCTGTGCTCTGGGGTGACCCCCCCTGCAGTCCTGATCCAGCTCTGGGGCAACAGCACCAGAGGGATGTGGAGCTGTTGGAGTGAATCCAGAGGAGGCCATGGAGATGCTGCGAGGGCTGGAGCAGCTCTGCTCTGGAGCCAGGATGAGAGAGCTGGGCTGGGGCAGCCTGGAGAAGAGAAGGCTCCTGAAGGGGAGACCTTAGAGCAGCTCCAGTGCCTAAAGGGGCTGAAGGAAACCTGGAGAGGGGCTTGGGACAAGGGCCTGTAGGGACAGGCCAAGGGGAATGGCTTGAACCTGCCAGAGGGGAGACTGAGCTGAGCTCTTAGGCAGAAGCTCTTCCCTGTGAGGGTGCTGAGGTGCTGGCACAGGGTGCCCAGAGAAGCTGTGGCTGCCCCATCCCTGGCAGTGTTCAAGGCCAGGTTGGACACAGGGGCTTGGAGCAAGCTGCTCCAGTGGAAGGGGTCCCTGCCCGTGGCAGGGGTTGGAGCTGGAGGAGCTTTAAGGTCCCTTCCAACCCAAACCACTCTGTGACTCTATGATACTTCTGCATGAAAGCAGCACGTATGTGTTTGGATGAGCTGCTTGGAATTTTGTCTGCAGAGTAAACCCTGCTTGCACATGTTCTCATTTGACATTTCCAACCCTGAAAAGTAAAGCTTCACGTCTGAGCAGTTTAAGTGGCAATCCCTCAGTGGAGTAAGCCCTCTGTTAGCACTACTCCAGGTGATACCAGGCATGACAGCGGAAAACAGTCCAGAAACGTATGGTGCTGAGCTCACTGATGCCATGGAGAACCTCTCAGTTTATGTGAGTGATCCAGACAAACCAATGGGTTAAACTCATCGAAGAGCAGTGAATTCATATAGGACTCACATTTCTTTTTATTTGCTTATGGATCCCTCTACACCCTTCCCTCTCAAAGTGATGATGAAACTCTTTTGACTAGTGTATAAGGATGACTTTAAAGTACCTACTTTATCCTGACAAATTCCATTGGCAGCTGTAGGCAAACACTAAGAGAAAATACTGTAACAAACAAAACCATTCCCAAATGGCTGCTTTTACTGGTTCAGGTGGAGAGAATTTCTAGCTAGGTGAATCAATGCACTGCAAGCAGAGA